GTTCTAGTTCCACCTTATCCATGAAAGTCAGCTGGGTGACTTTGGGCAATCACCAGGAATGGTGAGTTCTAGTCCCACCTTAGCCATGAAAGCTGATTGGGTGACTTTAAGCCAATCACCAGGAGATGGTGAGTTCTAGTCCTGCCTTAGCCATGAAAGTCAGCTGGGTGACTGGGCCAATTACCAGGAGACGGTGTGTTCCAGTCCCGCCTTAGGCATGAAAGCCAGCTGGGTGACTTTATGCCTATCCCTCTCTTTCATCCCAGCCCGCCTCACAGCATTGTTGCTGTGGGAGAAAAGAGGAGGAAGAAGGAATATTATAGATACGTTTGCCACCTTGAGGTGTTCATAAAAATGAAGGCAGGATAAAATAAATCATACGAAATGAATCCACATAATGGCTGCAGACAAGATGGAGGCAGAACTGGCTCTCGGATGTGGGAATGGTTTGGGAATGTTGAAGGCGCCAAGATGGCAGATCGCTTCACTAGAGGCTCTTCTGCCGGAATTTGTTCCAACTTGTGTCAGTCAATCCCTGCTTGAATTAGATGCTGAGTGCCATTATACTCTTTAATTTATTATTGTCTTTTGGTTGAGTCAAACTACTTAATGAGCCAAGAATGCTTGCAGAAAAGTAAGCATGCCTCTCTCTCCCTTCCTCCCTCTCTCTCTCTCTTTTAATTGGATGAAGAATTTTACCACCTCCTTCCATTCCCTCCTTTCTATTGATCTATGAAGACCTTCGAAGACCTTTCATCTCAAAGGGGAGCTGAAAATTTCATATATATGTAAATAAAATAAATGTGTACATTTTCCAAAGCACCCGAAGGAACAGACAAGGAACAAAGGATGAAAACTAACAAGGAGAGATTCAACCTAGAAATAAGGAGGAATTTTCTGAAAGTGAGAACAATCAACCCATGGAACAGAAGTTGCCCTCGGAAGTTGTGGGAGCTTCATCCCTGGAGGCTTTCAAGGGGAGATTGGACTGCCCTCTGTGAGAAATGGTGTAGGGTCTCCTGCTTGGGGCAGGGGGTTGGACTAGATGGCCTACAAGGTCCCTTCCAACTCTGTTAACCTGTTAAAAAAGAATCTGTTAAACCAGTGAGGAAGAAGATGAGGCTTTTTTGGCTAGACTTAAAGGTGAGATGAAGGTTTAATACATTATTGATTCCAGTGGTGTTTTTACTTTGGCCAAAAATCAGCATTAAAAAAAGACGCCGTTTGTCCATGCCAACCTGGATCTGGTTCACATCCAGCTGCGGGGACTCCAACTCCCAGAATTCCTAGCAGCAGTTCACCTGGCTGTGGAATTCTGGGAGGTGATGGGTGAGAAGACCCAGGTGAGGAAAAAAAATGGCAGGGAAAAACCAATCGGTTTTGCAAAGGGAAAAAGAAACCTATTTTGCAGGACAACATCTCTCCACAGCTTCGATGTATACGCAGGTTGTATTTGCACAACCTGCTTAGACAAGCCAATGAAAGACTCCGCTGCTCTCTGTGTGTATATGTGTGTATGTGTGCGTGCGCGTGTGTGGGCAGGTGCAGGGGGTGGCCTGCTACCGGTTCGCACCGGTTCACGCGAACCGGCTGTTAATTTTACCTCAGGTTTGCCAAACCGTTAGTTCCCATGACTGGCTGGCCCTGCCCTGCCCACCCCGCCCCCCTCCCCTCCCGGGAGTCCCCATGTGGCCCGTTTTGGATCCCAGGTAAGTGCAGGGCGTGCGCGGAGGCTCAGGGAGGGTGACAAACGGGGCTCCTGGAAGTTCGGGAAGGCCGGAAATGGGCCCGTTTCCTGCTTCCAGAGGGTCTCCGGAACCTGTGGCGGCCATTTTCTCCCTCCCAGAGTCTATTCTATTCTATATTCTATTCTATATTCTATTCTATTCTATACTCTATTCTATTCTATATTCTATACTATTCTATATTCTATTCTATACTCTATTCTATATTCTATTCTATACTCTATTCTATTCTATATTCTATTCTATACTCTATTCTGTTCTATACTCTATTGTATTCTATATTCTATTGTATTCTATATTCTATTCTATTCTATTCTATTCTATTCTATTCTATATTCTATATTCTATTCTATATTCTATTCTATTCTATATTCTATTCTATATTCTATTCTATTCTATATTCTATTCTATACTCCTATTCTATATTCTATTCTATTCTATATTATATTCCATACTCTATTCTATTCTATATTCTTTCTATTCTATACTATTCTATATTCTATTCTGTTCTATAATCTGTTCTGATCTATATTCTATTCTGTTCTATATTCTATTCTGTTCTATTCTATTCTATTCTATATTCTATTCTATACTCTAATCTATTCTGTATTCTTTCTATTCTATATTCTATACTGTTCTATATTCTATTCTATATTCTATTCTATTCTATTCTATTCTATTCTATATTCTATTCTGTTCTCTTCTCTGCTCTTCTATTCTCTTCTATATTTTATTCTATACTCTATTCTATTCTATATTCTATTCTATATTCTTTCTATATTCTTTCTATTCTATATTCTATATTCTACTCCCCATTCCATATACTACTCTATTCTATTCCTCCTGTTCAGCTGGTTTTCCATGTAAAAAATCAAAACCTTTTTCTGAGTTCCGTGCAAGAGAAAAAGCAGACGTTTATTTCATGCCCGAGGCCTGCAGGAGATGCTCCCCAAACAAAGGTAAGTAGGGACGTTTGCAAAGGTTTCTCTGGAGTGCAAATCTTGTTTTGTTACCAAGAGTCGCGTATAAAGGTTTTTCTCCTGTTCTCGGCTTGCAAATCCAGTTTTTGAACCCGAGGAAGAATCTCTGGGTTTGGGGACAAAAGCGCAGGTGGAGGCAGAGCTGATCTTTGGTGGTGGAAAATCCCTTGAAGCGACAAGCCATGGCTTGCTCTCAATCCAGTTCTCGGCGACACTGCGGAGAAACAAAGAGAACAAGCTGTAACACGGCACTGACAGGAAACTCCCAGCCACTTTATTTTGGAAAAATACATCTGGCCTCGAATTAGGACCGCAACTGAGCCCAACATTTCTGTCGCTAAGCGAGACATGTGTTGAATGAATTTTGCCCTGCTTTATGACCTTTCTTGCCCCTGTTGTTAAGTGAATCACCGCAGTTGGGCAGTTAGTAACTATTCAGTGAGTGCAGTGATGGCGAACCTTTTTGTTGTGGTCTGCTGAAAGGACCCACCCACGTGCCAGCACCCACAATGCAATGTGCTCTGTCCTCTCTGCGCATGCATGCACAACATCCCCACCCCACCCCGTTACCTGCACGGCACATGCACGCACCTCCCAGCTGATTTTCGGCCCATTTGAGGCCCTTTTCGCCCTCCCGGAGGCTCAAGAGAAGCCTCTGCAGCCTTGGGAGGCCGAAAAATGGGTCCATTTCAGCACTTCGTATATTTCCGGAAGGCCCATTTTTCAGCCTCCTGAGGCTGCAGAGGCTTCCCTCAAGCTTCTGGGGGGGCGAAAACAGCCTCAAACGGGCTGAAAATCAGCTGGGAGGCGCATGCATGCGCAGTGCAGGTAAGTTTGGCTGGGGCTCGTATGCCCGCACAAATGGCTCTGTGTGCCACCCGCATGCCATAGGTTTGCCATCATGGAGTTAGTGTCTTTTCTAGTGAAAAGAAGGAGTAGGCGGTGACATCAGTGGTGGGATTCAACGTGGTGTAACAACTGGTTCGTTGAGTGTGCGCACAGCATTTGAAAACCGTCCATCGTCAGCTCTAAAACTTACCTTCTGCTGCAGCCCCGGTGAATAAAATCAATCAATCAATCAAACATTTATTGTCCATGCACAACATGTGTACAATGAAATTTAAATGCGCTCTTCTGACCAAGGCTTCCTAACCCGTAATCCTGCTCACACTTATTTTAAAAACTAGTCTTATTTTATTGCAATGTTGGGAATGGTTTTCATTCCCAGCCGGAATTAATCTCAAACAGTCCCCCGAGATAAGCACCCACCTTTCAGTTCTGTGAAGTGCTGCCAAAAAACAGAAGTGTCAAATGAACTAGGAAAAAAACCAACCGAAGTACAAAGAGCTTCAAGAATGAGTCTGAACCGATCGAAGGACTTTGCTTCCTGCAAAGGTTTCATCATCATGGCCTGGCTTTTATCCCTTATGGGAGGGGCAGTCACCTCCCAGCCTTGCTCCCGAGTCACCCCTTTTGTTTCAGCTGCTCTTGCCTTCTGGCAGCTCTGTGCATACGCGCACTGGGAACAGGCTCCCTTTGTTCCTCTGCCTCGCTGCTGCCAGGTTCCTGAGTCAGCACACAACTCCCAGATGGTCCTGGCCCCATCCCTGCATCGGATGCAGGACCCTCATCCGAGTCCTCTCCAGACTCCCTGACTGCTCCCCGTTCTTCCCCACTGTCCGATTCCACTTCCGACTGCACCGGCTGGCTCTGCATGTCTATCGTATTAAACCTAATTGTGGTGTGTATGTTGCATTCAGAAGTCTGACAGCCCATGGATAAAAGCTATTTTTCAGCCTATTTCTTCATCCGGCTCTGCTTCTGTATCTCCTGCCCGATAGTAGGAGAGTGAAAAAGTGCTGACCGGGATGTGAATCATCCCTGTGGATTTTCCTCAACTCTGCTGAGGCAGCGGATCCTGGCAATTTTGTCCAGTGGTGTCAGGGGACAGCCCATAATTTTTTTTGTTGAGGCGGGGCAATCCATTGCGCCGCACGCATCAGCGGGGCTGCAAAACATGGAAATATAGGACAGACTAGCAGAAGGACGGGGCCAACTGATCGCTGTAACTACCGGTTCGCTCAAACTGGTCCAAACCGGCTGAATCCCAGCCCCCTGGGGTGACCTGATAGCAGTCTTCCAATATTTGAGGGGCTGCCCCAAAGAAGAGGAAGGGGGTCAAATTATTCTCCAAAGCACCTTGAAAGCAGGACAAGAAGCAACGGGTGGAAACTATTCAAAGAGAGAAGCAACTTAGAATTAAAGAGAAATATCCTGACTGCTAGAACAATTAATCAGTGGAACTGCTTGCCACCAGAGGTTGTGAACGCTGGAAGTTTTCAAGAAGAGATCGGAGAGCCATTCGTCTGAAATATAGGGTTTCCTGCCTTAGCAGGGGGTCGGTCTAGAAGACCTTCAAGGTCCTTTCCAACTCTGCGATTATCCTGACACTATCCCACAAACGAGCAGCAATACAACTTCCTAGGTCGCACAAATAGGATTTACTCTGGGAGCTTTCGTGTACGTGTTCTGGGGCTGGTCGTACAGGTTCACAGGGAAAACCACATCACAACAAAGATGCAGGGGAGACTATGGAACACCTGGAGTAAACCCTACCTGTGTGGCTCTATCAGCACCACTCTGGGTGAGCCAAAAATTAGGTTGCAATAGGAGGTGGTCAGATGGTCTTCTTGGACTGAAGCCATCCAAAGTTGCTCTCTCCACTCAACACGTGTGTGTGTGTGTGTGAGAGAGAGAGAGACAAAGACAGAGAGAGACAGAGACACACAAGAGAGAGAGAAACAGACAGACAGACAGACAGACAAAGAGACACAGAGAGAGACAGAGACACACAAGAGAGAGAGAGACAGAGACAAAGAGACACAGAGAGAGAGAGAGAGAGAGAGAGAGAGAGAGAGAGAGAGAGAGGGAGAGAGCAATACAACTGATTGTTGGGTTGTGCATTTTGTTAAGCTCCGACTTGTTTGATTATGTTTTCAACCACAAGTAACCAGGTTTCTGTAACAGCTCACAAAGGAGTTTGTTTGCTTTGTTGTTGAGAAGTGTGTGACTCATGTTGTACCCCCAGAAAATTCCTCCTTTACTAGAGGTGAGATGAACACAATTTGATACAAAAATATAACATCCTCCCCTCCAATCTGGGTCTTCTGGATTGGAATATTTCTGTCCTAATGGACTTTATTTAGGAAATTTATATTGCCGCTTATTCGCACATGGCAACTCGAGATGGCTTACAGGACTATAAAAACTATATATAAGTGTGTGTGTGTGTGTGTGTGTGTGTGTGTGTGTGTGTGTGTGTTTATATTATATTTGTATGTAAAATATATAAAATTATATATATTTATATATACAGTATATACATATACATATATTGCTGCCCATTTGCACATGTTTTCTTAAGTTTTTGCGGGTACTTCCATGTATGGTATTCAGCTTTGTTCGGGTATTTTCCCACGTCATTGTAGTTGTGCTTTTAAAGTTGTAGCAACATTTCAGCAGAATCTCATCTGCCATCATCAGGCTTCTGTATTGTGTTCATCTTATTTATATATATATAACACGATACAGAAGCCTGATGATGGCAGATGAGATTCTGCCGAAACGTTGCTACAACTTTAAAAGCACAACTACAATGACGTGGGAAAATACCTGAACAAAGCTGAATGCCATACATGTAAGTACCCATGAAAACTTAAGAAAATATACATATACATATACTTATACCTATACCTATACCTATACATATAAGATGGCAGATGAGATTCTGCTGAAACGTTGCTACAACTTTAAAAGCACAACTATAATGACGTGGGAAAATATCCAAACAAACCTGAAAACCATACACACACCCACACAGCCACATCCCACACCCACACACATATATAAAATGGAAGAAAATAATCATTGAAAATAATCCACCAAGCCACACCCACGGAACAGGTAGTAAATTTTTTTGAATCCTACCACTTTGTGAAATCCTACCAAAAATTCTCAAAACATTCTCCCCAAATTCCGAAAAATAAAATAAAATATAATATAACCCCAATCCTATCTCTGTGGACAATCCTAACCTAGTTTGTCCACTCATGGTGACCCTCAAGTCTCCATGCAACCTTAGATCTGGCTCCTTCATATCCACAACTGATCAAATGGACGGATTAAAATACACTGAAGTTTCCACAGAGAAACGGTTGGATTTTCCCCCTGTGGGTAGTCCTCGGCTTGCAAAGGTTCATTTAGCGACCGTTCGAAGTCACAACGACACTGGAAAAAATGACTCCTGGATCCATTTTTCACACTTACGACCATTGCAGAATTCCACCAGGGTCACATCATCAAAATCCGGCCACTTGGCAAACTGACTCATATTTATGATGGTTGCAGCGTCCCTGGGCTCATGTGGTCTCCTTTTTGCGAACTTCCGACCAGCAATGTCAATGGAGGAAGACAGATTCGCTTAATGACCATGTTACCTTTGCTTCACCACAGTGGCCAGAAAGGTGCCAAAATGAGGCGAAACTCACTTAGCCACCAAAACTCGCTTAGCAACAAAAATTTGGGGCTCAATGGTGGTCGTAAGTCGAGGAGTCCTTGTATCCTAAAATGTTCTGAACAATGATTTCCAGAAAGTAAGACTG